CCCAGTGTTTCCATTCCACTTGTCCCATCTGCCTGATGACATGAAGCCACTTAGTTCCATGCCTTGCTTGAGGTGTTTAATACACTGGGCAGATGGGAGGAAGGGATGTACAAGTGGCTACAGATGTTAAATTTTTTCGTTGCTCATTCTCAAGTGCTGTTTCTGTCAAATGTACTTATATTTTGAGACTAGGATTGAAATCTTCCAGTAGTCTCCTGCTGGCAGAGACCAGTCATAATTCTTTTTGTTGATAAGGTTACAGCTATGTCCATCAAATAACAGCATTTGACATAATTTATTGCCTGCTACATCAGTGATGTTCTTTGTGCTTCCTCCTCCTTTAGGAACCAATTTTGCCATCAAAACTATCTGCAGTGACCTAAATCTGCCACCTGTACACCTGCTCAATAATACTTTGCTTTGCAAACACTCTGATTCTAATGGGATTACTTGGGTTATAAAGCATTACTGAATGTGTAAGATTGGCAGTATAAGGCGTTTTTGCAGACAAATTGATTCTGAGGTTGCCTTATGTGAAAGGAACCTACATACCTTTTAAGTTTTAATTGCAAGCTAGTGGACTGAAGCCAAACAAACTTAATCTTAAATTTGGTACAAGCAGTTCTCATGCCTCTTTCCCATCAATTAATCAGAGAGACATTAGTCACAAAGATAAAGTACCTACAGTTTAGGCCATTCACAGATCAGTTTTTATAAAATTCCAAGAATCAGTGGGAAATGTGTATGTGAATGACTCCAAAACATCAACAAACAATTTGTGAACCAAAGCTTTCCTGAAGGAGAGATCACTCCTTGCCAGAAAGCTATATTAAAGATGCATTCTATGGTTTTATATACCTATGTGTTAACACTTCAACTGAACATAGAAAGGATAGTTTTAGTGCATATGGAGCACAACAAAATAGTTAGCAGAGTTAGAAAAATGTTCTGAGCTAGTCACTTGAGCAGTTGAATGGTTTGGGGTTTTTTTGTTTTTGGGGGTTTTTTTTCATTTAGTCCAACGTAGCTGACACCTTGATTTCCTGCCTGGAGATTTTAAGTCATGCTTCTGCTAGGATAGTGCTTTGGCCTCAGGGATCCCAACAGCAGGCAAGATGGCTCTAGCCAGTTTCTACCACATATTATCCTCAACATGCATCCCTGCCTCAGTAAATTTGCCTGCATCATTGTGATATGAAGCTTTTCTCTTCCCAGGCACAGTAAGAGCAAAACCTACTGGTAGAAAGCTTAAGTTTTTGTGTTTCATGGAGATGCTTTTTAGTGCAGCCATTTTTTGAGAATGAATGCAGGATTTACTAGCTAATTTAACTGTCTAGATGATGCTTACAGGTGTTCTAGAAATTCCTACTTGATCACTGATCTGCTGTATGTACTTGATTCTAAGATGGGGGTTTTTTTTATGCCATTTAACAAAGAACAGGGGAAATCCCCTCATCTTAGAATTGTGTATGAGCATGTTGGGGCAGACAGCAGTTGCAGCCTAGGCTCCAGCCCCTACCTGGGGTCTGACCAAGTTTTCAGTTACTGCCTGCTCCCTTCCACTCCCATTGCCTTTGAATGCACATGCAGACAAACACACACGTGTGCACACTCCCACCCCCCTCTGCTCCCCTGCCTACTTCTCTCCTTTTTCCCCACCCCCCTCCCATCCTTGCTCTGAGCCAGCAGGCTCCATGCATGTTGCAGCCTGGGGCACTGAGCATGCCCCCAGCCTAGCCTGTAGCAGTGTAAGCCCACATGGTTGCTATGGGGGCTGGGCTAGGGCTGGGCTCCATGCCCCAAGCTAGAATGGGGATGGAGCCTCCTGGCACAGAACATACTCGGGGGGG